AAGAGAGGAGAGAGACGTGGGTGAGCCAGTGGGTTTGTGGGCAACTGTAACCTTGAGGGCCTGGAGTTTCTCCTCGTGCCTGACGAGTGTCCCCACTACAACAGGATATGACGGGAGCTCTTGGTCCGACTCTGCAAAGGAAAATCGCGCCATTTTATCAACACCGCATGGCCATCAAAATAAATAAAAAAAACTAGCATGTATACTACCCGTGTCATACATCAAAATGAAACACTTTTTGTACATATGTAATATAGATCAAAGTTATCACATAATCACTGGAGTTATGTATAGTACCCCCTACAATGTCATGATACAGTTCGTCAACGGTGGTGTGGATTGGACTCTAAGTCAAACATCAAACTTGCAGGTGAGGTGGAATACTGCACCTGAAGTTGGTACTGCGTGGTGGAGAACGTGGAGATCATTTCAGCTTGCTGGTTTGCTCTCCGTGAACATCTGGCTGCAGGAGGGCTGGGGAAACTGGGTGGACACAAGTATGTACACACCCTGCGTTTACTGTATAATAAAACTAGATAGGAATGAAGTGACTGTTACGTACATACAGTAATGCTATAGACAATGCGGTAAATTTTTTAACATCATTGAATGTCGCTAAAGGGACTTCCGCAGTAACTCCTTAACATCATACCATAGGACGCTGTTTTGCAGTAAGCTCCTAAAAAAAGAATAAACACACCCACGTCCTAAGTCCTAAAAACTCCTAAAGAACACCTAGTTCCTAAACAATAGAATCATACTATGTATTACTTGTGTAGTACTCTTAACACTACTTGACTGTTGTGTGTAGACTCTTAACATCATACTATGACTTTTTGTGTAGTAAACGTCTTTCACATCATACTATGACTGTTTGTGTAGTCGACTCTAACATCATACATATGATTTTGTGTAGTAACTCTTAACATCATACTATGACTTGGTGTATATTAACTCTTAACATCATACTATGACTTTGTGTATACTCTAACATCATACCTATTACTTTGTGTAGTAACTCTTAACATCATACAGTAATGCGGCAGTAACTCCGGCATTTCTCTCTCTGGAGACATGAAGTTACAGGTCCACGTTTTACTCCTGTGTCCACCTGACTGCAGACATAAACAAAACACAGACTACTAACATCCTGGAAGACGACAAATCAACAAGAATCGCCTACCCACATGGGGTGAGGACAGCTCGACCTGCGTTCGACCACAGAGTGACGGGGTCATAGCAGATGGGGGGCATGTCTGGGTCTCTCTTTCAGTGGAGTCACCAATGCAGGCCAGTGGAACCACTAATACATGTAACGTTCACATCAGTCAACAAATCAGGTCAGCATAGACATCTAACATGCCAGATAGCTCAGTGTATGAATTATCAGTCGGAGTACTATCAGCAATGTTTCAACGTGTATTCAGTTTATTCTACACTTTAGTGAGTGGAGAAGTTAGGCGGTGGCGTATGAGTGTTACCATCTGGTAGACTCGATTCTGGTGCGGCCAGACGTTCCACGTCAGCGGACACCGTCCCGGTCCTCATTCTGGTTGATGAAGTCCTGCCACGTGGCCATGATCCCTAGACTTACTAGCTTCCTCTCTCTGGCTTTTCTTCGCGACTGAGCGATGTTCCACGCAGGCGAGTGTGGCATTTATTAGATATTATGACGTCACAACCTACACGTTTACATATCACGTATTTGCCCCAAAACGAGCCCCGCCCACCACCCTACCCGCGGCGGAATAGATTCCTATTCCCGAAGCAGATCAGATGGGGACTCCAATGAGTGAAGTAATAGATTTTCACGAGGCCAACTTTGTGTCTCTTCCAGACCAGAGCAATGTGTATGTTTTTGTTCATCTCAATGTTGGGGGACTCAATAAGCTGGTAGTGCCACCGTGCGGGCCCAGATACTCTGTCTCGAGTACCAGAGAGACACTGTTCGACCGCTCCTCTCTCCCATCAACTTCACATACATCCCTGGTAGCTATATACATGAGTATCCATATTAAGGATGTTTGATATTTTGTGCAGCGGATGCTGAGGTCATATCGATCGATGCGTGTCAGGAACCAAATAGTGTCATAATTGGAGTAACCCTCGTGAGGTCTGCAAAGGACGACCCTTGTGTGACAAAACCCGGAGATATGGTATTGTGTAGTCTCTGCAGAGAGCTCTCGGATCCAAAGGAGTTTTATTGTCAATCTCTATGGACTCCATTCTATACTGTACCTCGGCTCCTTTCACTGGGACAAATAGCTGGTGCAAAAACTCATCATCTCCTTGCGAGTTACATAGGCTTCGTGATTAGGAACGGTCTGAATGCAAAGTGTTGTTTAGTTTACTACAGAGTGAAGTAGCATAGTACTGCTGGCAGATCTGAAGTTAGTAAATGAATGTGCTGTTGGTTTTTGTTTTGCGCGTGATGGACTGGCAGCGAGACCAGCTCAATTTCACTCCTTTCAGGCTCATGCACACACGAGTAAGTCCACCATTATATTGAATGAGTTCCTAGCTCGACTCTGTTGTGAAAGGATTCCTGGCAGGGGAGATCACGGGGAGTGACTGTGTTGTCTTCTCAAGGGAGATGATTTGAATGTCTCCCCTCTACCAAGAAATCCGCCGAATGCTGATGAGGTATCCATCCAAATGGCTCCGTAGAAAAATTTTAATGCTCCTCTAGAAATTTTAATAGAAAACGAAAAACCTAGATGTATGTGACAGGTTCATTGGTATTATGAATCGTGATTCTAGATGGATGTTCTTAATCTTGGCTGCACGGAGCTAGAATAAGATTTGTCATTTCCTTACAAAAGTGCTGGATTTATCGGTGATCTCTATACTGACATGTTCAGGTGAGTTTCGAAGAGACTCCCACAGGTAGGTGGTTCCCAGAGCTGAGCCAGCTGCCGAGCAGTGTGACCTAGCTACCTGGACATGAGGGTGGTGGGGGACCAGAGACTGACTGCCCTCGGGTGCCAGGCCGGCCAGCTCATGTGTGCCGTCACCAACATCATCTCCTGTGGTAGGCAGTGATAGCTACAACTATGTTTGCTCTCAGCTCAAACTTAGGCTGTTGTAGATCTTCTCTGGGCTTATCAGGCTGGTGTATACTGGCCGTTTTATGCTACTTATGAAGGTTTCCCACATTATGATTTAGCAATCAATACTCCCATATTAGACACTTACCATTATGGGCATAGGTAGGCATAGTAAGTATAATATCATTTTTTCTGGAAGAGGTTGTTCAAGTGTGGTGGTCAAGTGCAGTGGATGGACCAATATCCTCAGTCAGAATATTACACCATTCATCGAGTAAGCAAAATCTCTTTCTGGATTTCATGCACGTCTTATATACCTGTCATTAATCCCGGTCAGAGTCAACAGAGGCTGGCAACTATCATCTAGTGGTTGGATCAGCTCTGGAACTGGGAGTAGTCTTCCTGTAAGTCCTCAACTAGCTTTCAGAGCTAGCTATATTGTTGTGAAAGACTAAGACCTCTTGCATGACAGCATGTGCACAAATCATGACGTGAAGTTCTCCACAACATGCAATTGATCATCAGCTCCAATAAAGGCTCAGACACACAATACAAAAATTGCCACTCACAGCTGTAGTCTTTTCTTGTGTTCCTTTCGCTTTGAGTGAGCTCTGAAACTGAACTGTAGGAATGTGATGGAGGAAGGGTTTGGGAGGTCAGTGGTACTGCCTGACTCCCACAAACATGACAGTGTGCTGTGTGTGGAGTTGGCAGATGTCGACTGGGACGGCCAGCAGGAGATCATACTAGGCACTTTTGGGAAGGTATATACCCACTTAACACAACACGCAGTCTAATTATTGTAGGGGTATCTTGTCTTTTTAAAGGATATTCTGGTGTACAAGCTGTCAATGAAAGGCAAGTGGAGATATATGATGCATCAACCAGCTTAGAAAGTTTGTGAATGTATCCTCTGAAAAATGAACACGTTTGGTTGGACCAGGCATTTTATAGGAAGATTGTCCTCTATTGAGAGGTTAAAAATGTGCTGTATATAGAAAAGTGAAAATTTGGGACCTCAAAGTCATGCCCTTTATTGTGTCCTTTATTCAGAGTGTCCTTTGTTCTACTGTACGTAGAAGGAGATGTGATGGTGGCAGATTTGGTGTGGCAGCACAGTCTGGCTCACAGGATCCACTGTATGTGGTATGGAGACCTGACTCACGACGGACTCTCTGAACTGGCCGTGGTCTCCACTGGAGGCATCCACATCCTTCAGGTTAGCCGCCTGCAAGCTTCCCAGTGCCAGTTCCAACTAAACTTCACAAAGTCACCCGTACACAGCCTGCAAAACTTTCACACTTTATTGCGTACTCAACCACATTTTTTGCCATATCTCCTGCAGCACACTTGCTGTTATTTACGAGGATCTGTGCTATTAGCCTGGTGTTGGTATGCATAGAATGGTTGTTTTCCTGTGTAGCACAACATGGAGCAGGCCAGAAGATTGGTGATAGAGAGACTGGTGCATTCTCTGGATCAAGAAGAGGGTGACAGACTTGAACCAAACGATGATAATACCTGTTCATAGTGTTTGTTCAAAATCGAGAACTCTGCGCATGCGCACCGCGGTCTGAAAAGATTGCGCATGCGCAACTATTACGCGCTCGCGGCGCTAATCGGCAATCGAAACAGCCGTGAGTCAGTAATGCTTCTCCTCCGTGTCCGAGGATTGTTGGTGGTCTGTGTCTGGTGGAGCTGTGGTAAGGCGGTGTGTATAGTCATGATGATGGATTAATAGTGTGGTGTTTCTATCCAGTGAGCTCTTCCCAGCTCGGACCAGAGAATTGCACTGCAACTGTAGCAATCAATCAACACTGTCAAATACAGTCACTGTCTACGTTCCCTCTGGAACTGCGTGTTTTGAGTGCATCATTGACGGAGTGATAGCTACTGATGCCACGTTCCTGATAGGCAACTCAGCCAGTCAGTGAGGGATCAGTGGTGAATGGTACACTAGTAGTGTCTGACACTGAGAGTGTCTTCAGTACACCCGCTAAAGTACAATGTGGCAGTGGTGGTGAAATAACTCATGCAGCATTTGTTGAGCACACGAGTAAGTTGACCTATTAATGCTTAATCTACACTTACACTAGACATTAGTTTTCAGAGCTCCCCTGATCACGGGAGATACTACAGTCAATGAAGGAGATACACTACATCTGGTGTGTGACTCACCAACTCAAGACCACTACCTCTTGTCCATTGGCTCTCTCCTGATGGGAACTTCCTTGTTTACGGTTCAGCCCTTGTGATCATTAACATCACTAGGGACATGGCAGGGACCTATACTTGTGTAGCCAACCAGTTTACACTCACCATGAACAGCTCTGTGGAGATCATAGTCCACTGTAAGTAATCATGACTTGTTTTTTCAAAGGTTATATATTATTTTTCTGCATTCTTCAGTCCCCTGTGATGTGCTAATGTCAACTGACATGATCATAGTCAACATGAGCTCCACTGCAGTGGGCAGTACTGCTACCTATCAGTGTAGAGATGGTCCCACTGATGTGTACACTACTCAGTGTACCAGTAGTGGAGTATGGGACCCTCACCCTCTCTCTACTCTACTGAGTCCAGTACTGCTATAAGAGCACGAGGGTATAAGTCTATATATCACTATCTCTTGTCCCTCACCAACAAAACCAAGCATATATTGTGTAGTTCTTAGACAGTTGGGCTATGCAGACACTTTGGTGACTGTATAAAAGTAACCAGCACATACCATAGTATTGGTGCCTAAAGTGTGGGTTTAATTGAGGAACACATGGTAAATATACTTACAACACAGGTTTTTTGCATTCTTTAGTCGCCTGTGATGTGCTAATGTCAACTGACATGATCATAGTCAACATGAGCTCCACTGCAGTGGGCAGTACTGCTACCTATCAGTGTAGAGATAGTCCCACTGATGTGTACACTACTCAGTGTACCAGTACTGGAGTATGGCACCCTCACCCTGACTGCACATCGAAAGAAACGGGTATTCTAAAACAGTCTGCAACTGACCCAGGTCAACGTTTTGTTTTCCCCTACAGTAGTTGCCAAACAAACTACTATTGTTTAGAGATGGTCCCACCGCAACTGTCTCTTACAAACATGTTTATGTGCCTCACATAGGACAAACGTCTACTCTTCAACCATGTCAAATTGGGGTAATAATTCTCTCTCTCATTGTCTTGGTTCAAACTGGTCTGTTAGTCGGAGCACTTGTGAAAATAGTTCTTCTTACAAAGAAAGGTGAGACATTTGCAAAAAATATAACTATGTCATAACTCCAACACAGGATCAGAGCAGAAGACAAGAGAAGAGAGGTTGGAGATGGATGTCAATGTAGCTTATGGAACTCCTAAAGAGATCATGGCACTCAGAACCAGCAACAGTGATTAGGAAACGAAGTTAGCTAGCCTTACACAGTACGGAATCCTTTAGATGACATAACATAACATAACATCAGAGCGTCGGTAGACGCTCTATATCAGAGCGTCGGTAGACGCTCTAGCTAAAGGG